TGTGTGTATCTATGTGTCTGTGTGTTTTTCTGCCCGTGTGTGTGTCTAGGTATGTAGGTCTGTGTAAATTTATGTTTTTTTCTGTGTCTGTGTGTGTGAAAGTCTGTGTGTATATATGTGTAGGTTTGTGTATATATCTTTGTGTGCACCTGTGTGTATGTGTATATATATAAGTGCATCTATTTATGTGTGTGTGAGTGTGTATGTGTGTGTGTGTGTGTGTGTGTAAATGGACGTGCTTCTGTGTATGTACATCTCTTGAAATTATACATTCATTCATTTCATCATAAGATACGCCCAGTTACCTTGACCTGCTGGGAACCCTTGACCTCTGCTATCTGATCTCCTACGCCGTGGCCATGTTTATCAGGTACGTGTCCAGCCAGACTACTGGCCGTCTCTCCGTTTAACCTGTCAATTTGAACTCTGTCAGTCACTCACTACGAGGTGTGAGTGGCTCCTTTTCTGAATCCATACTGCCAAATCAGCTGTTTTCCTAATCTTTACATTTTGTCATAACTTGCTACAATGATCTGACATCGTAGGACGCTATCAAAGGGTGCAGTGCCTCTTTATGAGTTATGTACACGTGATTTATTAGAATAAACAATGCCCCTCCCCCTTTTTTTCCGTTTCCGTTGTCAACTCTTGATCAATGCCTCTCAACTTTCATAATGCCGCCACCCTTTAATTAAGTTCCCTCAGGTTGTGGCGGACCCAAACAATTATCTTCCTTCAAAACTTCAACGAAAATGTATTTTCCGATGGTCTTAGGCGACCCCTGTGAAAGGGTCGTTGAAGCCCAAAAAAAGGGTCGCTACAGGCAGGTTGAGAACTGCTGCTTGAGACTGTCACAAAATGGACACTGAAATATAAATGTATTCGTTTGGGAAACATATTAGAAAAAGATTGTTCTCAGATTTGCATAGCTTATCAGAATCATAAAAATTTATGATGTAAACGAATTCTTCGTACATTTTTATTTACAAAAACGACTTTAACATGTCCCCAAGCCAAACGAGCATCTACAACACGACTCAGCGGTTTATTTGTGCACAACCCACGTGAACATCTACAACACAACGCAACTGTTTACTTGTACACTGCACACACGAAGTTTTTCCAGACTCACCTGTCTACCTAACCCAACGCACACGAACATCTACAACAAAACTCACCTGTCTACCTGACCCAGCCCACAAGAACATCCACAACAAGACTCATCTGTCTACCTGACCCAACCCACACGAACATCTACAAGACTCACTTGTCTACCTGACTCAACCCACACGAACATCTACAAGACTCACCTGTCTACCTGACTCAACCCACACGAACATCTACAAGAATCACCTGTCTACCTGACTCAACCCACACGAACATCTACAAGACTCACCTGTCTACCTGACTCAACCCACACGAACATCTACAAGACTCACCTGTCTACCTGACCCAACCCACACGAACATCTATAAGACTCACCTGTCTACCTGACCCAACCCACACGAACATCTACATGACTCACCTGCATACTTCTTTACAATGCACATCTACTACAAGTTACATTTGCCTACCTCCACACAACAAACCTCGTTAACACGTCTCACATGTGCTACCTGTCAACACAGCGGCCACATCTCCGACAGAATGAACCTGCGCTACTACCTCTCGGCGGGGATGGTTTTGAGCGGAGTGTTCACCTGTGGCTTTGGCCTCGGCTACTTTTACGAAGTCCACGAGTACTCATTCTACATCATCATGCAGGTATTGTGTAGTTATCTTTAGTTATTCCTTTTCTAAAGGATGATCAATATTTCCAAAACATCATCACTATCGCAGTCATCAAGTGCTGGATGAACACTTTATTCCCATGTTTGACTACTACTACTACTACTACTACTACTACTACTACTACTACTACTACTACTACTACTACTACTACTACTACTACTACTACTACTACTACTACTACTACTACTACTACTACTACTACTACTACTACTACTACTACTACTACTACTACTACTACTACTACTATTACAACTACTACTACTACTACTACTACTACTACTACTACTACTACTACTGCTGCTGCTGCTGCTGCTGCTGCTGCTGCTGCTACTGCTACTACTACTACTACTACTACTACTACTACTACTACTACTACTACTACTACTACTACTACTACTACTACTACTACTACTACAACGACGACGACTACTGCTGCTGCTGCTGCTGCTGCTACTACTACTACTACTTCTACTACTGCAACTACTATTACTACTACTATTACTACTACTACTACTACTACTACTACTACTACTACTACTACTACTACTCTACTAACACTACTACGACGACAACGACGACTACTACTACTACGACGACAACGACGGCGACGACGACAACGACGATGACTACTACTACTGCTGCTGCAGCCACTACTAATATTACAACTACGATGACGACGACGGCTACTACTACTTTTGCAACTACTACTACTACTACTACTACTACTACTACTACTACTACTACTACTACTACTACTACTACTACTACTACTACTACTACTACTACTACTACTACCACTACTACTACCACTACTACGACTACAACTACGATGACGACGACGACTACTACTACTTTTGCGACTACTACTACTATACTACTACTACTACTACTACTACTACTACTACTACTACTACTACTACTACTACTACTACTACTACTACTACTACTACTACTACTACTACTACTACACCACCACCACTACTACTACTACTACTACTACTACTACTACTACTACTACTACTACTACTACTACTACTACTACTACTACTACTACTACTACTACTACAACTACTACTACTACTGCTATGATGATAAAGATGTTATGTATTACTGTCAATATCGTCGTTATAACTGTCTTCTTCTGTATCTTTTTTCCCCCTCTAGCTCTACTATCAGCCTCGACCATAGATACATCCTACCGTTGTAGAGTGTCTCTTGATTTATCTGCTACTTTTGTAATTAGTCTACCTTATGCTCTGTGTCTTTTGGTGCACGCCTCGTATGGTATGGCGGCACAAGACATTCTTTTTTGGCATTACATTTGATTTGTTGTCTTTTTATGTAATTTAGAATTGTACTGTGCCGACATTTTCTCATTACTGATTTTATACCTGCTGGACACTCCTGCAGCCCTTCTCAGACATCGCATTTCCATGGTTACTAATCTTCTTTTCTAGTTTCGTGTGAGTGACCATGTCTCGCACTGATAACATAGGTTGAGAATGAATATGCATTGTTTGATTTGTTTCTTTGTGCCGATCAACAATGAACACAACTAAGTTTACATTCATTTTCCTGACCTCCAATGTTTGTTGCTAGGTACTGGGAGGAATCTTCCAAGCCACGGGCTGGCCGGGCGTGGTAGCTTGTGTTGGCAACTGGTTTGGTAAAGGGAAGTAAGTGACAGTTTTATTTATAGACTAGATTTTGAGTTTTTTAAACTTAGTTGTTTCCCCTCACTGATTTACCAAGTTTATTTATATTAAATTTGAAAAGATAATACAATGTTGTTAATTGCATCGCAGAAAAAAAAAAAGGAAAGTGCTATACACGTACTATTTTGTTATATGCATGTGAGACATGGACACAGAGCAGACAATTTGCAGACTACAGTCTGAAAAACAAATTCTCGAAACTGAGATGTAGCTTTTGACAACAATCCCAAGAATGTTAATAAGTGATAGATTACTTATTATTAAAAATATACCCGACTTCGTCCTTTTTAGGACGAAATTTTTTGTCATTTGAAGCCCTACTCTGGCTTTTGCCAGGGGCCGCAATATAGGCAGGCCATACATATGGCCAAATGTCTGAACGCGGTTTCTGGGACCTCTCCACGGCGATCCTCATCCGCATGGTGGCACTTTGTGTCATCGGGTGTTTATCGCTTGTGTGATGTCCTGGTGGGGTAGAAAAGTCCGTCAGTCGTCAGACTTATTATTAGCTTTTACCGGTTGCAAACTCCGGCGGAAAGTTCTGGTTGTTCATACATTCTAAACTTTGGTCTTGTCTCAGAACTTGAGTTTTTTGCGTGAACATCATATTTAAATATATGTCTCATGCATGTGCAGCCTGTTGGTTCCCCGCCTCTGAGTCCTCCGACGTAGGAAGAAACATCCCGATGTGTCGCTTCTTTACAACACGATAAAGAGGGCAGCAATGAGTCTACTGATTTTTCTCCCAAAATTGTGCCTCGTAACCCACACGGAGAGATGGAATGATAGACAAATGATGGGGTCCTCTTCGGGACCGTTCAAGGTCGTCAAGTGGTTAGAGACATTTAACGTAGTCAGTGACTGGCTACAGAGACGCAATCTAGCCTGTTGCAACCACAATGAAATCAAAACTGTATGGTACATGAGAAAATGTGGATATAACATCGTTAAAGTGCGCAATATAAATATTAGTATTTATAATAATTATTATTGCTATCCTTTAATTGCTGAATGGCAAAAATACGGTTAGTTAAAAAGAGCATAAAATATTCGAAAAGAGAACTTCTTTACATGGTGGTAATTTAGACTTCTTACACTTGCAATATTTCTAGTTCGGATAGTAGGTTGCGGGAGGCAGGAGGAAATCAACTCGCCCTTTAAAATTACATAGGTGGGGTGGGGGTGGGTTGTTCAGTCTCCTCTCGCCTCTTCCCTTTATATGTATCTTAGTTTCGGGGAGGGGGTGTCAATGTGCCGGGGCATTCAGGTTTCGGCGCCCCTAAATAAATTCGAATCAAACCAACAGTTGAAATAGTGGTATATGTTTACTGATCTACACGTATAACAATAGAATGTTACATTGAAACCACCCAGGCGAGGTCTGATCATGGGCATCTGGAATGCACACACAAGCATCGGCAACATCCTGGGCTCTGTCATCGCTGGGGTTTTCGTGGAGGATAACTGGGGTCTGTCGTTTGTGGTTCCTGGGGTCATCATTGGGGTCATCGGCATTCTCGTCTTCTTGTTTCTCGTGCCCGGTAAGTGTTCTGTATTTGTCTGCAGTAGTCTGAAGCCATATTTTTTTTCTCTTTCTGTCTCATCTTGTCCTCTTCTTCATCTGTGTCCACCTCCTGCGCTCATCCTTGTGTTATTAGTTAGACTCAGTTGCTTGGTGAAGATAGCTGGAGGTGGGAGAGGAGAGAGGAAAAGAGGGGGTTGAATTCAAATCTATCAGCTCCTGGTGCTTTATATTTGGGTTACTTTTTAAATGACCCCTTCTATCTTGTCAATGAGTACGTCCGGTTTTAGCACTGTTGCTTCATAGTCTAGGGTAGTTCTTTCCCGGTGATCTCCTAGAGTAGCGGTTCTCAACTTGTGGATAGCGACCCCTTTGGGGTCTAACGACATTTCAAGACCATCGGAAAACATTTATAGTGCAGTTATGAAGTAGCAACGAAAATAACTGTATGGTTGAGGGACACCACAACATGGAGAACTGTATTAGAGGGTCGTGGCATTAGGAAGGTTGAGAACCATTGCTCTAGGAGGTTAAAGAGCTCATTAAAGTATTGCTTCCATCAACTGGCTCGACTGATGAATTTAAGTTTGCTTTCCGTGTTACTATTATTTTTGTTTTCTGCGGGGTTCTATTTCATCTCTTTTTCGCATATGTTTTACTACATTGAAAAATGTCTGCTAGCTGACTGACTGACTGACTTTCTACCCCACCAGGATATCACACAAGAAAAACACCAAAATGACACAATGTGCCACCATGCGGGTGAGGATCACCGTGGATAGGTCCCAGAAACCGCGTTCAGCCTTTAGGCCATATTTATGGCCAGGCTATAATGCGGCCCCTGGCAAGAGCCAGAGTAGGGCTTCAAATAACGAAAAATTTCGTCCTGAAAGGGACGAGAAGTATCATAGTATTAGTCTGCTAGCTGTTTTCTCATTTCCTGGTATTTCTAATGTTGCTGTTTGAAAGATAAGTGTTTGAAAGGGACAAATGTAAGACGGGCCTGCCTGCCCAACTGGTGACCCCTTTGAAAATAAAGTTGGTTTGCTCTTTCGTTTCGCTGCCTATGAATCTCAGAAATGTTTCAGGATTCTTCTTTTGCTTTCTTAATCCCTAGATTGGAAATATTCTTCTTTCTTCGATTTTAGTCATTTTTTGTTGAAATCATTTTTTTTCTTCTCACATGCTTTTTTTTTTTACTTCTTCACATCGCCAAGGAAAATCATCGTCTGTATGTAGTTCAGTTTTGCATTTCAGCGTCAGGTTTTGAAAGACATGGATTGCCAGTCTTGAAATGTGCCAGGTAGATGCTGGTATTCGCTGTCACAAAAATTCTGTGTATTTCTGGCAGGTTGTCGACCCAAAGCTCTGTTTTCTTTGTGTCTCTTTTTTTCTGCTAGGCGTTCAGTTTCGTCGGCTCAGGTCAGACCATCAGGTGGGTTGCGCCTATGAAATCACATGTCAGCAGATGGTCCTTCATGGTTCCCCATAGCTTGCTCTGCACACTTTTCTTTTGAGGCCAGGTGTCTTTTTGAAGTTGTAGGTAGAGTAGGCAGGTCTGCAGAATGTGCTCGGGTGTTTTTGGTCCTGTTTGACACGCACACCGTGGGGACTGTACAATTTTTAAATTACTCATGTGATAGAGTCCTGTTCGTAGACGGAGGATTTATATGTTGCTTTTTGTTGAGTCTGCTGACAGGGTCTTGTGGATGTTTACTGTTAGTTTGTTCTCTCCACGATTCCTTGTATTTTTCCTTGATAAGTGTTCTGATTTCTAGTCATGACAATTGACGGGTGTGTTGTTTCTCCTTTGTGTCATTTTTTTGCAAACATCTTTATGTCTAAGCGACATGGCTCTCTGTGGTTGTTGTTTTAATTATGTCCCTGCTTCCTGATATTACTGATCCACTATATTTCTCTTTGTCTGTGTGTGTGTAGGGGGGAGGTGGGGGGGTGGGGGGGTGGGGGGGGGGAGGGAATGTGTCATATTTGAAACCTTGATGAGATCTTGGTTTCTGGTTAATTCTTAAGTGTGAGACGTTTTACTATAAAAAAATAACTATTTAAATGGTCGGTGTCACGCCACTAATAAAAGCAATAGTTAATTTCTCTTAAAGAAAGGATATTCACTGATGCCATGTGTGTTTACTTCTTGTTTAAGATCCAGCTGATGTTGGCTGCACAATACCCGACCACTCAGACAGTGTAAGTATGAGATTAGGAATATGGTGTTTATAATGTAAACAAGCAGTCGCCTTTAAAACATTCGAAGACGAAAGAAAAAAGAAGAAGAAGAAGAAGCAAAAGAAGTAGTAGTAGTAGAAGAAGAAGAAGAAGAAGAAGAAGAAGAAGAAGAAGAAGAAGAAGAAGAAGAAGAAGAAGAAGAAGAAGAAGAAGAAGAAGAAGAAGAAGAAGAAGAAGAAGAAGAAGAAGAAGAAGAAGAAGAAGAAGAAGAAGAAGAAGAAGAAGAAGAAGAAGAAGAAGAAGAAGAAGAGAAGAAGAAGAAGAAGAAGAAGAAGAAGAAGAAGAAGAAGAAGAAGAAGAAGAAGAAGAAGAAGAAGAAGAAGAAGAAGAAGAAGAAGAAGAAGAAGAAGAAGAAGAAGAAGAAGAAGAAGAAGAAGAAGAAGAAGAAGAAGAAGAAGAAGAAGAAGAAGAAGAAGAAGAAGAAGAAGAAGAAGAAGAAGAAGAAGAAGAAGAAGAAGAAGAAGAAGAAGAAGAAGAAGAAGAAAGAAGAAGAAGAAGAAGAAGAAGAAGAAGAAGAAGAAGAAGAAGAAGAAGAAGAAGAAGAAGAAGAAGAAGAAGAAAGAAGAAGAAGAAGAAGAAGAAGAAGAAGAAGAAGAAGAAGAAGAAGAAGAAGAAGAAGAAGAAGAAGAAGAAGAAGAAGAAGAAGAAGAAGAAGAAGAAGAAGAAGAAGAAGAAGAAGAAGAAGAAGAAGACAGTATATATCCTTCGTACTTATGATGATTACCCTATCGTCGTCTGAAGTCCTCAGGTAGAGTTCCATGATTACCACCTCTGCTTTCATGTACAGGAAAACCAGGTGGCTTCAAGGAAGAGAAGATCCAAAAAAGAGAAGAAAGAACAGGAGGGCGACGAGACTGAGCTAGAGGAGACAAGTGAAGTCAGAAAGAAGGAATACAGAATCCACCAGGTAACAGGTTGACGTTTTCTACAACAATCAAACTTTGCATCATCACTGTCAGCATCTTCGTCGGTATCTACACCGTCCTCATTATTGCATTCTTTACTATAATATTTGTAATGCCATCTTCATTGTCCCCTCTGTCGTCATCTTATAACCGTAAGTATTATTATCATCGTCATCCTCCTCATCATCATCATCTTCGTGTAATTCTTTTTTTTCTTCTACTTCTTCTTGTTGGTATTGTTGTTGTTGGTATTGTGTTGTTGTTGTTGTTGTTTTTTGTTCTCCTTCTTCTTCTGTCGCAGCAGCAGCATTCCTGCCACCATAATCATCATCCTCAACATATAGTAGCTCATTTGCCACGCTTTGTACTAACATTTATCATCATCATCTTCTTCTTTACCTTTACCGGTGATGTAACGGAAGTGTTGGGGAGAGGTGTCAGGATTTTCTGTGTTCTCTTTGAGCGCACTCTAAAAACTGGTCTTCGTTTCTTTAAGGAGGTTCTTGAAGGATGTTGCATTTGTGCGCGATCTTCCACTTGCTCTGAAATCCTTATATTTTTCAACGTGGTTAATTGTAGCTTATGGTACCAGGGCATTCTCATCAAGTGGCCAAACCCTCCTATATGTTGCTCTTTATTAACGGTATGTCTGGGTTCAGTTATATTCAATACAACATGTGAAAAGAGCCATATTCTATACAACATGCGAGAAGTCTTTTTTTCTGACCTTAAATCATCGGTTCACGTTGTGCTTAGTGACACATGAGGTTTCAGAGAGGACGTTCCATGCTTTCGTGTCTTTGCAATCTTCCGTGCAGTTTTCCTTGTCAAAGATGCAGCTCACAGTTCACTTTCCATCGTTCGTCTCCATGCAGTTTATCGACTTCCCTTTGTTTTTCTTTTCATTTTTACTTTTGGTGCCTAAGTGAGAGCTGTTTTGGCAGGTATATCAAGATTCATTCTCATGAAGTGGCCTAACCATATCCATCTTCTCTTTTTTTATCATACTGTCTACAGTCTGATCTAAAGCGACATGGATTAACCGAATAGATGTTCTTCATTTTATAAAATGTTGATTGTGTCTGTCATAGATTATTTTTTTTTTAAATACTTTGTGGAACATTTTCTATCTCATAATATCCATATGCCTATATATTTAAATATATGTGCATGTACAAAGATAGCTCCACTGACTTTATATATAAATATGTAGCTCCACTGACTTTATATATAAATATGTAGCTCCACTGACTTTATATAAAAATGTGTAGCTCCACTGACTTTATATATAAATATCTAGCTCCACTGACTTTATATATAAATATCTAGCTCCACTGGCTTTATATATAAATATGTAGCTCCACTGACTTTATATATAAATATGTAGCTCCACTGAATTTATATATAAATATGTAGCTGCACTGACTTTATATATAAATATGCAGCTCCATTAACATTATACATAAATATCTAGCTCCACTGACTTTATATATAAATATGTAGCTCCACTGACTATATATATAAATATGTAGCTCCACTGACTTTATATATAAATATGTAGCTCCACAGACTTTATAAATAAATATGTAGCTCCACTGACTTTATATATAAATATGTAGCTCCACTGACTTTATAAATAAAAATGTAGCTCCACTAACTTTATATATAAATATCTAACTCCACTAACTTTATATATAAATATGTAGCTACACTGACTTTATATATAAATATGTAGCTCCACTGACTTTATATATAAATATGTAGCTCCACTGACTTTATATACAAATATGTAGCTCCACTGACTTTATATATAAATATGTAGCTCTACTAACTTTATATATAAATATGTAGCTCCACTGACTTTATATATATATATATATGTAGCTCTACTGACTTTATATATAAATATGTAGCTCCACTAACTTTATATATAAATATCTAACTCCACTAACTTTATATATAAATATGTAGCTCTACTGACTTTATATATAAATATGTAGCTCCACTGACTTTATATATAAATATGTAGCTCCACTAACTTTATAAATAAATATGTAGCTCCACTAACTTTATATATAAATATGTAGCTCCACTGACTTTATATATAAATATGTAGCTCCACTGACTTTATAAATAAATATGTAGCTCCACTAACTTTATATATAAATATGTAGCTCTACTGACTTTATATATAAATATCTAACTCCACTAACTTTATATATAAATATGTAGCTCTACTGACTTTATATATAAATATGTAGCTCTACTGACTTTATATATAAATATCTAGCTCCACTGACTTTATATATAAATAAATATATATGGGAGTCGCCGTGGCGTCGCCTGCTATCGGAATGTCGCGTCCCGATGGTTCCCTACTTTTTTTTAAAAATGACATTGACTTCCAGGTCGACGCAGCATGACTGGGTACCAGGTGCAGTGTTTGAAGTAAAGTCAGCCGGTGTGATGCTAACCACGTCACCCACAAAGTCCCAATTGCTCTATAAAAATATCGGTGTAGCCCTTCATTTCCAATAAGCCTAAAGGCATGGAAAAGGGACCTTGAATTTACTTTTTAAATAAATAAATAAATAAATAAATAAATAAATATATATATATATATATATATATATATATATATATATATATATATATATATATATATATATATATATATATATATATATATATATATAAAATGTAGGCATAGCGATTAAAAAAAATCATCTTCCAAAACAGGACAAGACGGATCCATATACAGCAGAAACTGAAAACAAAGTTGCCAAGGAAACGGAGGCGAATGTTGCTAAAGATACGACAGTAAGTATGAAATGGGCGGGGCCAAACGTGGTAGTGGTGGTGGTGGGAGAACTATGACCTGTTTCTCACTGCATCTTGCAGATTACCAGCGCACATGGCTTTTTCTTGGCGGTACGCAACGGTACGCAGTGTAAGTGTGAAAATAATATTACTGAATAATTTAATTTTACGGTAAATGTTAAAACACCCCACAATAATCTTCAAAATGCCAAAGTAGAAGAGGATGTGCAATAAACGACAGTAACAATTAGGAAAAGAATTACGAGATATTTTCTCACATCAAATATATATGACACTAGACGTTTATCTATAGACCAAAAGGTACTCAACAAGTAAAGAGACACAATCACGCCAGCCATTTTTACTTTACATGAGATTCACGCTGGCTGAATACATTTAAACAAGCAGAAAAACGTCAAACCACTCCGCCATTTTGGATTCTGAGACAATAACGATCTCATATCCCATGGTTTTCTTATCAAGACATATTTCAGTTTAAACTTTTATGTACCGGGAGCTGCGGTCCTGTGACGGGCTGGGGGGGCTGAAGGTCGTAGAGTCAAATCCGCATCGTGCTATATCCTTTCAGATATGAACTTCGCTTCCCAGCCGAGTCAACCTTAGATGGGTACCAACCTGGAGCCACCACCGTGTAGTGGCTTGACGCTCGATGAGGGCCCGAAGTATGTTGTTTCCCGCAACAACAACAAAATCCTAGCTCCCCATGTCGCCCAGCCATAAATAAGTACCAGATAAAACCATGGAAAATAAAAGCGTCCGGCTTTGTGACAACAACACCCACCGAGTGCCGATTGGTCTCAAATGAAGACTGACACTATATACGGTACACGAGACGCCCGGAAATGTGGACAAGGGTCGTTAACTTTATGTTTCTGGACTGTTGTCAACTATATTATCTACCAACTGACGAATATTTGTGTGTGTGTGTGTGTGTGTGTGGGGGGGGGGGGGGGGGGGGATTAAAATAACTGCGCTTTGTCGTTATCTGTTGCACTGTAAAAGATGATGGGTAGTCGTGCAAGGACGCTCTCGGCAGATTAGTATACTGTGATGATGTTGATAAGCCTCAGGCTGTCAGTGACTCCCTGAATCAATTTGTGCTAGTTCTCCCTCTGCCTCTTGATGTTGGCATTTTTATGTGGTTACTAAATTTTCTATACAAGAAATATTAGCCTAGAAACATTGGCCCAATGCTCCAAATGCGTCAACAATTTCTTAAAAGAACCCTTATCAAATAGCTTTTATTAGATACGCATCATAAAATCAATGCATTAGAAAGACATTAATAAAAGTCTGACATACAGTGGTGTCTCGGAATTCGAACTAATCTGTTGTGAGACGGCGATCGAAATCTAAACTGTTTTCAAGGTACTTTTTCCCAACTGAAAATAAACTTAGTTGCGTATCCTTTACAGAACGTTGAAGAACCAACTCCAGCAATTTTTGGCTGTTGTGGTTGTTCTAGGCAAGTTTACGTCCAGTAGTTCACCATTCATTCTGAACGGTCGGCTTCTCAATAGCACTGTTGAAACCAACGCAAGGCGTAGGGCCTGCAGCTGGGATTGAACCAGCCAAGCATTATTGCAATCACAAGCGGCAGATTAACGCTGCTCCTATGATCTAGATCATTCATCAGCGAATGCCATGAACGAAGAAGGATATTGTTATGAAAAGTGTTCACGAAGTAAAAAAGGTTGTTGCGTATCCTTTACAGGACGTTGCAGAACCAACCATAACAGCCCCTGGCTGTTGTGTGGTTTCTCTAGGCAAATTACGTCCAGTAGTTTGCCATTGCTCTCTGGACGGTCGGCTTTCTTGATACCACTGTCGAAACCAACGCAAGGCGCATTGCCCGCAGCTGGGATCGAACCCGGCATCCCGGCATTACGAAGCGAAGTGTTCGCATCGACTTAGCCACAGAGCCGACTCACGAAGTAAGGTATCTCTTAATTAAAATCTCTCATAGAAACGCGTGTTGACAGTAAAAACTCCCAAGTCACCTGTGATACCAGAAGTTTGTATCCGACAAGAGGAGATTGATAGATTGTGATAAGGGCCGTAACTCAAGAATCTTAAATAAAGGGCTGTGTTAGACGTTAAGGCCCTTAGGTGAGAAGTAGTCCATACGACAAATATTGATGTTCTAAGGCGACTCGCGAACGCAGTTGTAAACAAGTGGGACAGCACTCTTAATGATCACTGTATACCACTTTTCATACTTCTAGCAGGCTGCACCTAGGTATGTCATATTAAAACTTGTGTTTAGTGGACATATTTGGCATCGTTTGTACGTGCCTTGTCGACTGGAGTGAGCGAGCATGGCCCCTTAACAACCAGCATGTCATGTACTGACATTTCTTCATGCCATGACAAAATGTTGACAATCTCCTCGCGGTCTGCTTCTCATTAGCTCCACAGGTGTAAACCGACAATGCAGATGTTTTTGTAACAAACACTACCACTAAAAAAGTAAACACAAACAAAATGATTGTCTTTCTCGTCGCTGCTGTTTAAATTAATGGACAACATAGTCTAGGGAGTCGACGTGGCGGAGCGGTTAGACGCTCGCCGCGGATAGGAATGTCGTGGGTTCGCTCCCTGGCGGTACCAGACTTTTTTCAAAAATGACCTTGGCTCCCAGGTCGACCCAGCCTTGATTGAGTATCGGATCCAGACCTGGGAAGTAAAGGCGGCCGGCGTTGAAGCTGACCACATCACCCATCTTGTGCCGATTTGTCTATTAAATATAGTTCTAGCCCTATATGCCCTATACGCCTAAAGGCGTGGAAAAGGGTCCTTTACTTTCATTTTCTTTTTACCTTCAACATCGTCTTCGCCAGCCGGGGTCACATGTGGACTAAATTTCCATATTAACTGTCATAAACTGAGTAGTAACCTATTTCTAAACCACAACCCATGTAAAATATTCATCTTATCAAGCCATTACTCTCGAAGGAGACAGGGGATCACGGAGCAAGACCAATTTCAATTTGGCGAGCATTGTTTATTCCGGTAAGTGAACAATAAACTATATATTTTTAAAGATATTTTGTGTGTGTGTGAACATCATAATCATGACTATCGTCACCATCATCAGTATCATTGTTGCCGTTGTCATATAACTGTGATTAGTAAGGACTATCATATTAAGGCTGATCCATGGATGCTTCGAGCTCTTCTTCATTAGCTGTACCAGGGATAACTATCACCATCGTTCTGTGTTGATTAATCAGACCCTTTGTGCTCTTGGTGAAAGTTCATGTGTGGGTGATCCAGGTTGTACCCCTTATGTCTACCCACTTGGACAAGGATACAGAGTCCTGCTTGTTATTGTGGTTTTATGCGCTGTAGGCATCTCGAATGGCATTCGAGAGTCATGTTATACTTATAAACGTTACCCTTTTCTGTCAGGTATTAATTCATTCATTGTCCTGTTGTACCATATATGTCACATAGGGTCTATTTCTCCGTTCCTTTCTATCCCACGCAATCATTTCGATATCATCAATGCTTCTTTCATCAACGTTCCCTTTAGGGTCTCTCTTGGACCTCTCCGTTTTCTCAGTCCGTTTATATCTCCACTCACTGCCGGTTTGATGATTATCTGTTCCTCTCTTCTCGGAACAGGTGCCAAACCATCTTCTCTGTCTTATAACAGTTTTAAAAAAAAGTGGTTGCCCAGATATTTATCGTATTTGTTCACTCATCTCGAATTCATCCCATTTTTTGTTCAACAATTTTCAAGTATGTGTTTTTGAATACATTTAACTGAAGTTCCATGTCTTCAGTGATTCTCCGGCTTTTACTGCCATATGTTAACACTGAAATAACAATGGAATTAACATGGCGTCGGGTGTAGCAGAGATGAATAACTGGAGGTCCAGGGTTCGATTGGTGGCCCTGTCTATCAAGGTAACCAGAGCAAGTAAGGGTTTAACCACCCTGAGCCTCCGGACTCCACACCTTCCACACCTTGAGACACTAAAATTGTTAGATGTCTAAACTGTCCCAATCATCTATACAGATGGCTCTGTATTGAGGGGCAGACGAAGTGCATGGGGTGTCATAGAAAAGGCGAATGGACGTCGCCTAGTGCAGCAAAGCCTGGCATATGATATCACAACGTCTAATTTAAGAATGGAGGTGGGGGCAGTCTCTGCTGAGAATACATACATGCCGTGATTGTAACTGACTCACAGAGTTGAGAAAGGTAAAAACAGGCATGCTTCATGCAGAGTGGCAAGCATCAATTCAGAGGTCCCAAGTAGTTAGCATCTCTTGGATATTTTCTCCAGGTTATGCCAGTGTGTTGGGAAATGAGCAAGCAGATAGACTGGCTGGCTCTGCACAGCTTGGTGGTGAACTGATGTATAACAAGTTAGATATCGCGAGGTCCCTTTGGAAGCGAGTGAACAGTACGGAGGCACAGATAGAACATTACGGTCTAAGTCGAATGGCGCTGCGAGGAGTTACCAGATGATCTGGCCGACAATCAACACTCAGGGAAAGGGTGAGACGGATATACAATCAGACAGTTAATGGTACGATCGAAATTGGAACTCTTTGCTTGCTGCTGAAGATGGGCACTGAGTACTTTTTCGAGTGTCCCCAGTGCCATGATATCAATTCATAATTCAACATTCAAACTTCAACATTCAACATTCACATTTAAGATTCAACTGCCCCACCTCCTGCTCTCTCCCGGAAATCAGACATCTTAAGAAGTTCTTTCTTTTTAATATTTTTCTTTACATATAAAATTATTTCATTTGTACAGTATTTTTTACATTCAGCACATAATAATAATACTATTTATAATAATATTATTAAGAAATACTAGTAATTATTGTTATTAATCAGTAGTAGTAGTTATTAGTAGTTGTTAGTTGTAGTAGCAGCAGTAGTATTAGTAGTGGTGGTGGTAGTAGTAGTAGTAGTAGTAGTAGTAGTAGTAGTAGTAGTAGTAGTAGTAGTAGTAGTAGTAGTAGTAGTAGTAGTAGTAGTAGTAGTAGTAGTAGTAGTAGTAGTAGTAGTAGTAGTAGTAGTAGTAGTAGTAGTAGTAGAAGTAGCAGTAGTAGTATTAGTAGTAGTAGTAGTAGTAGTAGTAGAAGTAGCAGTAGTAGTATTAGTAGTGGTGGTGGTGGTGGTAGTGGTAGTAGTAGTTGTTGTTGTAGTTTTTATTGCTCGTGTTGTTGTTAGTAGAAGTAATAATAAATATTAATAGTAGCAGTAGTAGTTTAGTAGTAGTAGTAATTAGTGATGGTAGTGTGTGTGGTAGTAGTAGTAGTAGGCACGGCACTTGAATAACTCTGTGTCCCTTCCCCTGTAGAAAATGTGTAAAGTGGCTGAGTCCAATGGAGTAAAAGAAATTAGTGTAAATATCTAGGATGAAAGGATGGCTACTAACTGTTCATTGATAACTCGGGTTCTCTCAACGTAAACATAATTATGCGACTTGGTAACTGTCTTTTTCCCAGGGAGTCATGGAGTTCTCACTCTGCCTCTTCTTCGCCAAGCTGGTCTCCTACACATTCTTGTACTGGCTGCCCAAGTATCTGTCGAAATCCAGTAAGTGATTTTCTCACACGGTTTGTTACAGCGCGTGAATGTGAAAGTAATTTGTTACGGTGCAGGATATGAATTATCACATGCCATAGGTTAGGTTAGTTGCGTATCCTTTACAGGACGTTGCAGAACCAACCCCAACAGCCCCTGGCAGTTGTGTGGTTTTTCTAGGCAAATTTACGTCCAGTAGTTTGCCATTGCTTTCTGGAACATGCCATAAAGTTTACGATAAATACATAGTTATTGTCATAGTGTTCAGAATTCGTTTAATTTCACTGGTAGTTCATATAAATGTTTGTTTAGTCAGATTTTCTTTCTTTCTTTTTTTCTTTCTTTCTTTCTTTCTTTCTTTCTTTCTTTCTTTCTTTCTTTCTTTCTTTCTTTCTTTCTTTCTTTCTTTCTTTCTTTCTTTCTTTCTTTCTTTCTTTCTTTCTTTCTTTCTTTCTTTCTTTCTTTCTTTCTTTCTTTCTTTCTTCTTCTTCTTCTTCATCTTTATCTTCTTCTCCTCCTCCTTCTTCTTCATTTACTCCTTTACTACAGTCAACAACAACAACAATAACAGCAACAACAGCAACTAGAACTACTTCTGCTGCTGCTGCTGCTGCTACTACTACTGCCACTACTACTACTACTACTACTACTACTACTACTACTACTACTACTACTACTACTACTAATACTACTGCTGCTGGTGCTGCTGCTGCTGCTGTGCTACTACTGCTACCACTGCTGCTGTTGCTGCTACTACTGCTTCTGTTGCTGCTACTACTAGTACTACCTCTTGTTGTCTTCTTCTTCTTTTTCTTCTTCTTATTCTTCTAAGTAAACGTTCAGATATTAATTTGACTAGAAGTGTGTAAAAATCAGCAGTTAATTTTTTTATGCCTTTTGACATCCCTATTTTCTCTAAAAAGTTGAGGGTGTAGGGCAAAGTATAATCACCTGAATTTTATGTTTTCCACTCTTTCTGCACCGTTGTACCAATTCTGCAGAGGCATCAATAATACAAAGCCGATTTTATAAAACGTGTTATTTCAGCCATGTATGTGCGATGCCTGAAAAGTTTTAGAAAAGTATTGCATCCAAATTCAGAGCTGAACTTCGAAAGGAAGTAGGTCAATTACATGTGAGGACAAAAATGGCGCCGACAGTCCATGCTATTATTCTGGAAGACTTTTCTTACCAGGAGAGGAACGTTTCTTGATAACCTCACTCACCATCCACCATCTCTTAGATCAGTGGAATGCTTTTGTTTGGAGATATGAGAAAGTTGCCAACACTATTTCGGAGTAACTGGTAGTGTGTCTAACATCTTTTTGTTGTGTGGATGCTGCGATGCCCACTTAGTTCAAAGTGTGAATGAAACATATTGCCTTCATCTTTGAAATAAAGAATTGATCGAGACCTTTTTTGGCAGCATGCCTGCAGAAGACCACGTACTTTGACAGCTACAATAGTGAAACCAAATCACCAAATACTTACTAATGATTGGCACTATGCGAGTTAATAAACCGCATTGGTTCGGTCATCTACAGACGATGGCAAATAACAGAGAGACCAAACCGAGGCAGACTATAAAGGTTATAGGTGATAATACCCAGGCAGACCTACTTACCAACTGGAAAGAGAAAGTCGATCACAGGGATAACTAGAGTCGGGTGATATCTTCAGCAATGAACATCAAAAGTTCAGAATGCCGAGGAAAAGGACATGATTATGAATGTATTGCGTGCTACAGGGATGGAACCAATTTATTCGAGTCCTTGATTTCACCAACTAGTGTACTCACACAGTCCGACAGAGCCGGCTGTTCATACAACTGCTGAAAAATCCAGCCCATAATCTATCTCAGACAGATTTGATATGCCGATAAAGGAGTTCCAGTCGTCATTGCTCCACGCTCCGTGAAGGAGCAGCTTCCGTGGTTGTTTCCTTACAGGGCCTAGCCCTGCTGGCATGTGTGTATACTATCTTCACTGTGTCCCATACAGGGCAGGTGGTGTTGACAAACCCGCTGGGCACTGAGTCCTTGACCGTGCATGGCGCTGGCGTGTCACGTGAGGCAGGCATTGCTTGGTTGGAGGTAGTTTTTTGTTAAACCCCTTTTTTTTTTCGTTTTTGTTGATTCCGTTTTCTATATACTGATAATTTGCGCGTTTGCTTGTTATGACATGTATTGAAGTACTTTACAAACACCACAAGTTAGTTATGACATGTTGAAGTACTTTACAAACACCACAAGTTAGTTATGACATGTGTTTAAGAACTTTACAAGGACTACAATTTAGGAAAAATTTGACAAAATAGTAGCCAACCGAAAACTTTAGTAGTAGTAGTCGGTACTACTTGTTATCTCTTAATACTGAATCTTGAATGACGTATAACATAATCGATATTCCAAATCATGCTTCGCGCGAAAGGACGCATAAATGAGGATACAAACCTTATCCTAGTAAGAGGTAAGGGAGCCTGAAATGCTATGGCAGGGTATGGTATGTTATGGTTAGCAGCTGGTTGGAGGTGGGCGAGGGAGGCATTGGAAGGGAGCGGGGGGGGGGGAGGGCGTCGCTCAGACAGCTGAATAAACAAAGCACTGCTTTTCTGATAACCCGGCAGCTTCTGCGCATTGCTTTGGTCCAACCCTAGTGGTGTTAAATTTTTTTTTTAAATGTTTTGTTTTGGGTAAACAAGGCTGACTTAGTGAGTATTAATGTTGCATGTGCAACACATAGCCTCTGCAGTACTGTCCAATCTTTCTTTTTGTTTATGGAAAAAACCTTCATCCCTGGGTTTAATTAAATGCCCATCTATAAGGCTTGTATCCCACCATGGTTACGATAGACGGAAAGCTGTCAGTGACATGTATAAATGGTATCGGATGTTACACAAGGAAACGAGCAAGCGATCCAAAGCAGAGACTAATCTTGCAATGTAAATACTCAAACTGCATTCAAGACATCAGTGTGGAAAAAAAACACACAACAATAACCGGATGTGTTCTCATGCCATTTCAGTCTAACATAAGTATCAGGACATTTTATGGGAAGAATATTCGACCGGCCTGATTATGATCACATTACATATAGAGAACCGACTGTTCTGTAATGGGGCCAGTATAGTAAATTAAAAAAGACTAAAACTAAAGAAAAAAAAAGGCACTATTCCAGTTTCGTCTATTTAGCATGTTTCGAAGCTTATTATACACACATCTTAACACAATCCTGGAAAGAAGAGCAGGGATAGAGCAACGAAAAAAACTGATAAAATAACACTCACAAAAGTGAAAACATCCCTCTTTATAACAGTATTTTTAACATTAAAATTAATTTTCTATTAGATTTTCCAGATAAAAAAAAAAAGATAAAAGATACAGACTTTTTAAGATGTTCATGTTTAGTAATGTGAAAAAAAAAAAATGAACGAAACAATTCTAAACATTTTGAATCTTTCTCTTCAACAGTCAGCCCCACAGAGGCGGCTTACGTGTCCACCATATTTGACGCAGGAGGAATTGTGGGTAAAGTTGTATGTGGATACATCCGTTGTGTCAATTTGCTGTCTGTGGCAACACGTTATAACTGAAATATTTGATTAGTATTTTCTGATTCAACATTATTTATTTACATTAACAGTAACAACAACAACTATCCTACTACTACTACTACTACTACTACTACTACTACTACTACTACTACTACTACTACTACTACTACTACTACTACTACTACTACTACTACTACTACTACTACTACTGCTACTACTACTACTACTACTACTACTACTACTACCACTACTAGTACCACTACTGCTGCTACTACTACTACTACTACTACTACTACTACTACTACTACTACTACTACTACTACTACTACTACTACTGCTGCTGCTGCTGCTGCTGCTACTACTACTACTACTACTACTACTACTACTACTACTACTACTACTGACACCACTACCACCACCACCACTAACACATATATGGTTGAGATTAGCTTCCTAGAAAGACTCATTTCGGAGGAGGACGAGAAGAAGAAGAAGAAGAAGAAGAAGAAGAAGAAGAAGAAGAAGAAGAAGAAGAAGAAGAAGAAGAAGAAGAAGAAGAAGAAGAAGAAGAAGAAGAAGAAGAAGAAGAAGAAGAAGAAGAAGAAGAAGAAGAAGAAGAAGAAGAAGAAGAAGATGATGATGAAGAAGAAGAAGAAGAAGAAGAAGAAGAAGAAGAAGAAGAAGAAGAAGAAGAAGAAGAAGAAGAAGAAGAAGAAGAAGAAGAAGAAGAAGAAGAAGAAGAAGAAGAAGAAGAAGAAATTTATAGAGCAGTAGAAGGAACAATGCAATGAGAAGAAGAGGAGAAGAAGCAGAGTAGGAGGAGGAGAAGAGAGGTGTTCAGCGAATATATGGACTTCGCACCATGTACGCAACATCCATTTTCATCTCCCTTTGCTCTGAATGGGTAGAAAGAATTCGGAAATCTCACGTAATTAAACCCACGAGCCTTAGTCTATACACCTGGCTATGGCGGTGTGAAAGGTAACGAACGGGAGAACCACCCGGAAATCAATGCAATAACAAATGTGTAAAGAATGGTAAACAGAGCATATGTCAATATAGCTGTACGCACTAGGCTAGTAGATAATAACGAATCTTTGCAGCTAATACGGTTGCATGACATATAGATAAAGCACGATAAAGCACATCTATGCTGTCTTCGAGAGCGCGATAGCAGTCATTGTAACCAGCTCCTCGTGGGAAGAATCTATAGAGGTATTTGTGACAGCCAAAAAAAGAGCAACCTGGGTGTCCTAAAAGGGGCGAGGGCTGGAAGAATACTTATCACAAACATCAGAAAGAGACAGTCATCATCGTTTGGTCATGTGAGAAGAAGAAAGCTGGAATATTTTGTGACCCCTGGAAAGAACTGTGAAATGAGATCCACACACAGACAATGCGAGAATTTTCTTGACAACCTCTTGGTATAGCTTGGAGGGATGTCAATACATGAACAGTTACACGCAGCTGCAGATTGCAGACTATGGTATGGTGAGGCTTGATCACCCCCGCCAGTCGGTAAAGCACCTGACGATGATGATCTTAGAATGGTTACTGCATGCTGGGGTGGGGGGAAAAAGGGGGAGGGGCTGATCACGTAGGGGGAATGCGTCTGTATCTTTCTTATTTGTTTGTTAACTGTCAGGTGGTATACTTGCTGGGTATCTGTCAGACAAGTTGCAAATGAGGGCCACAATCTGTATCGTCTTTCTTGTGCTGGCTGCTCCAGTGGTAGGTATACCGTGTCTCTGTCTCTTATGAAAACAAGCTAGGTGGGTCTCATTTACGTTGGCGAACCAGCTTTAGCATAATTAAAATTGCTGTTTTTGTTGTTATCATTATTAATATCATGTTTGGTTTTGCTAAATAATTATACGTTGAGTAGTTTGCTATTGCCGCCTATTGGCTCCATATCATTGTCGAAATCTACGCAAAGCAACCTGGGGCCAAATCGCCCGCACCTGGAATCGTCGAACCGTATTTTGGAATTAGGAGGCGCCTTTGCTTACCGTGTCTGATGACACCTGAGGTATTTGCTGTAGTGGAGTACTTGTTTCACAAGAGCTGACAGGTTGGCTGGATCCGCTATCACTACCGACGGTCAGCCTATGGATCATGCTGATATTATCAATGCCCTCCGAGAAGTGGGAAGGATAGAGGACTTTGGTGGCAGTGAATCCACATCACTCGCCAGAATGGCAGACTTGGGAATTAAGATCGGCACAGCAAAAAACGAGACGCACACCAGACACGCCAGAAGACTTGTTAATCAACATAGAACTGGTACTATTGGCCATCGGACGTTGGGGTTCATACAGAGGGGAGGATCTGAGCACCTATGGACATGTCCGGAGTGCAATGAGGATAACCCAACTAACTAACTAACTAACTAACTAACTAACTAACTTGTTTCACAATACAACATTGCTTAAATGAGATAAAACACTCACTCTGTGCTGCAGTGACACGCAAGGAAGGCAATCAGTGACACGCTGTAATCTATCATATGAGGAAACGCGGTGGTACTGTGGCTAGTACTCTTGCTGTCTGTCACGAAAGTGATGGGTTTCAGCTCACACGTCAGTGGGACACCCTGGATAGATGTGAGTGTGTATGATATCCTTAAGATATACTAGTCTGTGAGAATCTTGGGCATACAATCGACCGGGGAACATCCTGGACAGATACTAGATTGTCGGACATCCTAGGCAGATGTTAGTTTTTATGATATTTTAGGCATACAGTAATCTATGGGACATCCTGGGCAGGCAATAGTGTAAGGAACATCCCGGGCAGACACTAATTCAAGGGTCATCCTAGGCAGACAATAGTATGAGGACATCATGGGCAGACATTTGTCTGAAGGACATACTGGGCAGACAGTGGTGGAGGAACATCTTCGGCAAACACTAATCTTTCGGACATACTTAGCAGACACTAGTCTATAGGGAATCTTGGGTATAGGTGCTAGTCAAACAAACGATGTGAGGAACGACCAATGTCTCAAAGCTTTGCTTTCAGTAGGACTGCAAGTGATACACAATTTCTCTCAACGGTGCTGAAGAATCGACCGCACTCCATGCATTGACTGCTTTAACAACTCTCCAGATGGCTCCAAATAAATATATTCCTATCACCGGACTTCGGGCGACTCTTTAATACAGTTCTTGATCTTGTGGCGAACCCCAGCCATACAATTATTTTCTTTGCCACTTCATAGCTTCAGTAAATATGTGTTTTCCAATGATCTTTGATGACTTCTGTGAAAGGGACGTTTGACCCACAAAGGGTCGCTACTCACGGGTTGAGAACAGCTGGTCTAGGTATTCATAATGACTTGAGGCTCGCTTGATTTAAGTGCTAGTAAGACCATTTCGGTCTTGTTGCCAAAAGACAATTTAACTGCCAACAGACGCACTATAACAGGTAACTGACTCGAGGGTCCTGAAACACCAGAGATCTCTCAACGGTACGATGACTGTTAAGTAAAGGTAAAGGTAAAGTGGGGAGATGTGAACCAGCGTCATTGCACACGGTTATAAACCATAAGTGCCCTGCCACCAGTACGGACAGCTGATAAGAATTGCCTGCCTGTGTCGCCGTTAGCACTTAACTCTTAGCTACAGCGGCGTTTCTCCATTTACCCCCAGAGTGTCAACTCTGGTACCCATTTCCTACAGGCTGGGTGAATCCCGGGAGCTGCCCGGTTTCGAACACCGACCGTGGGCTGCAGCGAGTCGCAGCTAGATTTGAAAGCTAACCTCTTATCGACTGAGCTAACGCGGCCCCGATGACCGTTACGTCCGAACAGTTAATTTAAAGCTTAATGCACACAGCATAAAGCGACTGGACCACAATACTGGCCAGCGCTAGGAGCTCGATGGTCATATCTGCAGGACAGATCGCCTTCAGACGTGAGCTGAAGGTTGAGTCGTGTGTCCGAGACTTAACTCAGGTTACAGGTTAATTCCCAAGAATGCGGGAATCTTACAGTAAGTCACATAGACAGGTCTACTGATGCACGAATCCGATACACTTCTAGACAATTAAGCATGTCTACAATGAATATAAATAAACGACATACAACAAGTATACTAAAACCTTCTATAAGTTTTACCGATAAATTAACGTTGTCTTATTTGTTTCCTCTCTCACAAGCTATTTCTGTACAACGAATACGGAACTGATATCCCATACTGGGCGAACTGCCGTGAGTACAAGTGACAGCTTATTCACCTTTGGTTACTACTTGAACTTTATTTACACAGTTTCCAATATAGTGTATCGTGGACCGTGTTGCGAGGAATGGGAAAATCAGGAAAGAAATAAAGATACACGAGAAACTGACTGTAGATAGGTTAAGAGACTAGCGTCTAAGAAGAAGTATGTTAAATACACATGGCAACATGGTCCTAAAATACTGCGCTCTAACTATGGAAGACTTGTCCCAAAGCAGAAGGATCTTGCTAGTCGCACTCGTCATCGCAGTGGGCTGTGACTTCCATGTTGCGAGAGGCACAGTGGTGTAGCGACTAGAAGCTTGCTGCGGATTGGGAGGTCGTTGGTTCAGGTTCTGACGGGTAAAGTTTGCTGCATATCCTTTATAGGACGTTTCAGAACCAACCATTGCATATTTTGGCTGTTGTGGTTTTTTGTGTGCAAAATTTACGGCAGTAGTTTGCCATTGCTACTGAACGGTCAGCAGTCGGTACCAGTGTCGAAACCAGTGGACAAATCGTCCGCAGCTGGGATTGAACCCGGCCCCCCAGCATTACGATGCGAATTCTCAACACTTAAGCCACAGACGCCGACGGAACCTAACTTTTTTTTCAAAAATGACCTTGGCTCCCATTTCGACCCAGCCTTGAGTGGGTCACACCCTAGTCTTACAAAGTAAAGGTGAACGGTGTGATGTTGATCACATCATTCACCAAGTGCCTATTAGTCTATAAAATAAAGGCGATATGCTCAAAACGCTTAAAGAGGGTAAAGGGGCATGTTACATTACTGCAATAGAGAAGGAACGGCAGATAACAGAGAGACATCAACTGCGTACACAAAAAATGTGATTTGGAGTAGACCAGGAGGCAGACCAAGAAGTCATTTGGGCATATAGTAGTAGAGTCCCCACGTGGACAGAGAAGACCAGTCAGTGAATTGAAACTGATCTAGCGCCCCCCCCCCTTTTTTTTTGGGGGGGGGGGGCTTTTACCAAATCAGTGAATGTCAAGGAGTCGGAAGAATAAAGAAAAAGAGGTCTTCTATCTTTTTGATTCTGTTGGGTGCTCTTTTTTTTACAAATTCAACGTGGCTCTCAACTGTTGCTGAGACAAGGGCATTCTTGCCAGATGGCTAAATCATTTGATTTTATGTTCTTAAATGGACTGTATGGCTTGTTTTAATTTTCTTCTGTTTTCTTCTATATATGTATATGTTCTTTGGAATAATAAAGTACATATGAATATGTTGTTTAGAATAATAAAGCATACATTTATATGTTCATTCTAATGATAACGCATACATTCATGTGTGCTTTATAATGATAAGGCACATATTTACATGTTCGTTAGAATGATAAAGCGTGCATTTATATGTTATTTAGAATGATTAGGCAATTAAGGTCCGACACTTGAGTAATGAGACTAATTTTATTATGGCCAAGACAAAAATGCCATCTATGATTCATAGTGTGGAACCCAAAAAAGGCAACCTTCGCTTGTGATCTGGCAACTTTTCATCGCCGCCCAAAAAGCAAACAACAAACAAGCTGCCATTTTGTTAACCTAGTCAGATGTGCATTTTTACGTAATCAGCATGAAGCAAAAAGAAAAAGAAAAAAGCTAACATTAAACTATGTTTAAAACTCAGAAAAAGAGCCATTGCGACCGTTGAATTGATGCGATAAGTTTGTAGGGATAATTTATTTTTATCTCGTACACAGATTTTCAGCTGGTATTCACGATTCAAAAATTGTGTAGAAATGGTTACTAATGCAACTTGACCTGGACGCCCAGTAATGAGGAACTCATTGCAAAATTCCGAGAACGGATACAAGAAGATCGTTGTTCGACTTTGATGATGATGGTAGATGAATTCGGTGTTAATACAGAGACTATTCGTAAAATTTTAGTTGCAGATTTGGGCAAGAAAAAAGTTGCTTGCCGGTTTATATTCAACACCTGGCAATTTGTTTCTTCTTCATGACAATCACTGGCTCAAAGGACGGTAGTTGTACATGAATTTTTGGCCCCAAAACAAGTGCTTGTTCTCGACTATCTACCGTATTTCCCCGGATTTGTCTCTCTGTGATTATTTTCTATTCCCAAAACTAAAGCTGATATTGAAAGGACGCTTCTTTGACGATGTTGATGACATCCAAGGGGCCGTAAGATCAACTTTAAGGGCCATAAAGACAGAAGAACTACAGAGGTCGTTGTAGTGTTTGTTAGATGGTGCCACTCGCTATATCAAATCACGAGAGGCTTACTTGGAATAAAATACAGGTCATATCTTCAACTATATGTTAATTTTTATGGAATTAGTCTCATCACTTAATTGTCGCACCTTGTCTGTACATGTTCATTGAAATGATAGAGCCTACATTTATATGTTCTTTATAATGTTAATAATATTTTTGTATTTTTTTTTTTTTTTTGTATTTAGAATGAACAGAAATACTCTTATTAGTTATTCCCTTGTGGAATGCAGTTTTTCGTTATTCTGAAGCCGGGCCATAAATATGGCTCAATGGCTGAGCGCGGTTTCCTGGACCTCTCCACGGGTGATCCTCATCCGTATGGTGGCACTTTGTTGTTTATCGCTTGTGTGATGTCCTAGTGGGGTTAATGTACTACTGCTAGAATGAAAACGCATGCATTTTCTTATTGATTAGAATGATAAAGCATACATTTACTTTTTTTTTTTAAATGAATGATAAGGCACATATTTACACGTTGATTTGAATAAAAAAGCATATATTTATTGTCAGTGCTGCTTGCCGTGTGTGGTCTCGGGGTGAATGGACCGTACGCTCTGATCACGACAGCAGTGAGTGCAGATCTGGGGACACACAAGACAGTGCGCGACAGCGCTAAAGCCCTGGGCATAGTCACTGCGATTATCGATGGCACTGGAAGTATAGGTAGGTCTGGCAATATGTTTGGTGTTCTTTGTAATTACGTGTGTATAAAAAGCTATTGCAGGCCTAATACGGTCAGCGCTGCCCATTTACACACTACTTAAGCTTTCATTGACACTTAATCAGCCCAGTCGACTTCTGTCAAGGTTAGAGGGATGTCACCGTGTCAGTATAAATTAGCCATTTTAACGTCCCCATAACATCTACAACTGGCGCTAACCCTAACTCCCATTCGCCACACACTGAACCTAGGTCCCATGAGACAATGTATTCTTTGCGCTGTGGTTTCAGCTCCTTTACATTTTGCGGTTGACCACAAAACGCTCTCTCGCTGCAGACACGGAACTCTACGCTCTGCAAGAAACTAATTTCCTACCCAAATCCTAGACTGCTTTCATTTACCCATCAACAAACACCAATACTATATATAAAGTCACTCAGAAAAGCCAGTGCAATACATGTACTCGTGCACACTCCAAAATATAGAAAGACAGACCTTACACCCCTTTCACTCACATTTGACTATCTGACAGATTAGGGCCGGGACTATACGTCCAATCACAGTGTTCTGCCCCGCCTCCGTCAGTCATAAGTGTGTATATGGGCGGAGCCAGGGCCTGAAAACGTGAGTTGTTCCGAAGTTATTTGTATGTGAATTTGGGAAAGTTGTGCGTGATAGTACAGGGTGTATTTCTGATGACTGTGTTTAGTGAAAACGTTTGTTGTTCTTTTATTTTTTTTTTTATTTTCCGTTTAATGGTTTAATGCAGTTTATTTTGGGTACTGCTTTCCACATCACATCTTTTTTCACATTGGGCTATGCTAGTTGAATTGCGAACGGTATTAGGACGAATCCCTTGAATATAAGGAAATGACATCATAAATTGATGAACAACTACATTTGATTACTTGCCACATTTAAGGAACACATACTCCACCTAAAAAATAATCTTTTCTTCAATAGTTAATACAATTAAAGCTAAGAGCAACTGCTAAAACACCGTTCTATTGCAGTGATATTCTAAAATAATGATTACATTGGACTTGAAACATGAAGTAATACATAAACTCAACTACGATACTCAAACAACAGTACATCCTGTTATCGTTGATCGACTATTTTTATAGTCGTACGTCCTTCTTAGGACGTAATTTTTTGTTATTTGAAGCCCCACTCTGGCTTTTGCCAGGGGCCGCAATATAGGCAGGCCATAAAAATGGCCAAATGTCTGAACGCGGTTTCTGGGGCCTCTCCACGGTGATCCTCATCCACATGGTGGCACGTTGTGTCATCGGGTGTTTATCGCTTGTGTGATGTCCTAGTGGGGTAGAAAGTCACTCACTCACTCACTCAAACAACTGATTTCAAAAAGTCTACAGTCGTTAAACATACACACCTATAAATGTATCTGGTCAAGTTCCAGTTAATATCTAGGGATAAAGTTTCTTCACTCCACACAAAGGATATTGCTTGGTGTTCTGTATGCTCTTGCATTAGAACTGTGTTCTCGTGTAGGTTTAAATATCACATTTCGGAATAAATGCATAGACTCACAGTACCGATTGGTCTGTTAGAATATCGGCGCTCTTCCCATGTGCCCGATGCGCCTAAAGGCGTGAAAAGGGATCTTGACTGTTTATTTTAGGCATATACTTAACGCTCGCTAACATGCACCTCATGTTTAGGAGTGTCTTTTCTGAAATCGAAGTGCATCAGCCTGATGGGCGAGGACCTGAAACTCGGCAGACAAATAAGTCAGATCTGTGTAACGGATGTGCACGCAAAATTCAAGTCCTGGAGCAAAACCAAAGTTCACAAGTGGACAAACAAATATAACCATTCTCCAGAGGGTTAGTTACTAAGTTTACAGTGTACAACCAAAATTGAATTTTGAGTTTGTAAGACCATGGAACAGATTAATTTTGATTCCATTATTTTCAATGGGGAAAAACTGCCTTAGAACTCGAAGGATTTGAATTCGAATGTCGTCTCGGAATGAAATTTGTTCGAATTCCAAAGCACCACTATATGAAAGAATTCACATTTTGAATTACCGAATAATTGACGTGTTTCTCACAGGAGCAGCCATTGGTCCAATGTTGACTGGTGTCATCTCTGGCAGTAGTGATGTCAACGGGTGGAAGTATGTTTTCTACATGCTGATTGCTTCTGATTTCATGGCAGCCATTGTACGTATCATACGACAACACTTTTTCATCGTTTTCTATTATTTCCCATTATACTAAATATAATTTTTTTTTTTTTTAAATTATGAATCTGAAAATTTTCTGCCACTAATTTTTATGAAGCATTTTGGTCGGAATAAATAATGCCTTTCCTCATCTTATGTTACCTTGATCATCTGCTACCTTGCGGTGTCAGTGTGAAGTATAATTTATGGGAAAGTACCCCGATGGCGCGCCGCGGATCGGAAGGTCGTGGGTTCGCTCCCTGGCGGAGACGGACTTTTCTTCAAAAATAACCTTGGCTCCCAGGTCGACCCAGCCTTGAGTGGGTACCGGGTGTAATCCCGGGAAGTAGAGGCGGCCGGCGTGATGCTGACCACATCACCCATCTTGTGCCGTTGGTCTATAAAAATATAGGTCTAGCCCTATACGCCTAAAGGCGTGGAAAGGGTCCTTTACTTTTTTACTTACCCCGATGGCGCTGTGTAAATATGAATTCCCCGGGAGGGTTATTTATTCTGTCCGTCGTTTGCATTACCTCTTCTTCCCTTCCAAACCATTTCCCCTGTTGTCTTCTAATGAAGTCCAGCGTGTCTGCTACCCCTGTTCTCATTTGGATTTCTTTGTGAAATTTAAACCTCCGCTGTTGTCCTGGCAAGTCAAAAACCTACCACAGTGCCTAAATACCACCATGGCCTAATAATATGTTTAATCACAAAAAGAAGTTGTTGAATGCGTTTCAGTTTTATGATCTTCTAGAACCGTGGTTATATTTCCGCGGGGTATTGTTTATTTAACAACGGTTCTTAAGATTCTCTCATTGTAGTACAAGAATCGTACCAGGAAAGAGACGGCGTCCTAAATGGTAAAATTCTCCACACACACACACACACACACACACACACACACACACACACACACACACACACACACACACAAAACCAGTGGTACACTGAAAGCAACCTTCTTTGATGAAACGGAACACAATTTGTGTTAAAGATCCGAGACAAAGTTAGAAATGATATTATCAGACAGACTATAGGAACAATAACATGCAGCAAATTCACTGAGAAACAGAAGATCGAATGGTTTGGTCATCTAGAAAGAATGCAGCCACAACAACTACCAATGTTAGCGCTGCACCTGAACAATCTGAAGCGAAAGCAAGAGACGGCTCTAGAATGTATGGATTGATGACATTAGAGAGCCTCTACGTCGACACGGGGTGACAACGGCGATTGCTGCTAATCAAGCAAAGGATCGCAAACTGTTCCTCCCCACGTGGCTTAACGTCAGAAGTGGAAAATTATTGATGATGACCATCTCAAGCATGGGAATCCGCTACAAATCTCAGAAGCCAGGTTTAACCTTATCGTCATCCAGCACAGTTATACTGGGTCACCCAACACAATGATTCAGTAATCTAAAGTTCAGTGTGAACGGAGAGTAAAAAGCAATAACGAAATTCATAATCTGTTTAAAGATGCCACTGATCACTGGCATCATGGGATCTAATAGACTGAAATGGCTAGGGCATATTGAAAGAATGTCAGATGACAGAGAAGTAAAAACTGTATACACAAGGGAGATGAATGGTCGTAGACCACGAGACAGACCAAGAAGACGTTGGAGAGATCATGTCCAGACAGACCTGCAAACACTTGGTGACACCAACTGGAAAGAGAAGGCCAACCAAACAGATAAATGGAGCCGGTGATATCTGCAGCAATGAACCTAAAGAGCTCGGAACAGCTGAAGAAGAAGAAGAAGAAGAAGAAGAAGAAGAAGAAGAAGAAGAAGAAGAAGAAGAAGAAGAAGAAGAAGAAGAAGAAGAAGAAGAAGAAGAAGAAGAAGAAGAAGAAGAAGAAGAAGAAGAAGAAGAAGAAGAAGAAGAAGAAGAAGAAGAAGAAGAAGAGGAAGAAGAAGAAGAAGAAGAAGAAGAAGAAGAAGAAGAAGAAGAAGAAGAAGAAGAAGAAGATAGTCCAGTGTGGGTGAGTTGTCTTACTTAATGTGAAAGTTAATAACAAAACCGTACTTTTTTTATTCTTCAAAAATGACCTATGCTTCCAGGCCGACAGAGCCTTATATGGGTACCAGCTACAACCATGAGAAGTAGAGATGGCCAGTGTGGTGTTGATCACATCATCCACCAAGTGCCGTTGGTCTATGAAATATATGTCGATATGCCAAATACGCCTGAAGACGTGGGAAATAGCCCTATTCCTTTTTTTAAAACGAGCAGCTGTGTTGAAACATCTAGACGTTACTTTCATATTCTTCCCAGGGTTTGCCGGCGTTGCTGGTAATGAAAGATCTGATAGACTAGCTGGTGCTGCATTAATTAAAGATGGTCGGCCCATGGATCACTCAGACATTGTCATTGCCCTTAGAGAGATAGGAGGTTCTGAGAATTTTGGAAGCAACGTGTCCACATCACTGCTAAGGACACGAGAATTAGAAGTAAAGATCGTCACAGCCAAGCATGAGAAGCACACCGGATGCACACGAAGTCTTATCAACCAATATAGGACTGGCACTATTAACCGCGACGCTGATGAATATGTAGAGAGGGGAATCTGAGCGCTTGTGGGTGTGTCCGGAGTTCTGTGAAGATCATGTAACTACAAGCTCGCGTGCGGATATGAAGGTCATGGGTTCGAGTCAGTTCAGGAACCGGACATTTTTTTTTTCTTCTTGTTCACCGGCTGTGAATTCCGACTGAAAGTCCTGGTGGTTCGTCTATTTAGACTTTTGGCTTTTACCTGAACCTGAGTTTTGCGCATCCGATTTACTGGCATTTTTTGTAACCGTTCTCGTTCCCTGCCTCTCCGGCAGATCTACTCAAACTTTTTCTCAAAAATTATTATATCTCCCACATCTAACCTGCATTAAATGGGTACCAAGTGGAAGTAAAGGCCGCCGGAATGATGCTGACCACATCACCCACCAAATGCCGGTAGGTTTATCAAATATAGATCTATACCTCTATGCCCCAATACGCATGAGGACGTGGAAACTGGGCTTTTACCTTTCTTGTTTAAGATATACATTTTTTTAGAACCAACACTGGCATGTGAAAATAGAAAACCGCACACTACACTGACTTTTTTAGAAGCTTTCAAGCGAGAAATATGGTCAGATTTTTTACAAGTAGTCATATTGACCAAGGTCGGTCAAATCCTGGCTCACATATCACCTTAGTTAACTTAAGCCCGGACGGCTCCAGAGGTCAATATAACCGGACAGAAAAACAAAGAATGGGGGCGGAGGGAGAGGAGACAAATAATGCTTGCAAGATTGCCGGGGGACACAATTTAAAGAAGCAGTAAAGAGTACATGAAAGACAGAAAGGCGAATTAATAATAACAATAATAATAATAATAATAACAATTCACAAAAGGACTCGCAAAATCTTAGCAGGAAATCAAACAGACATTAGGGGGGGGGGGGGGGGGGAAGAGAAATAAGCAAAGAATGTCACACATTAACAAACTAGTTTGAAGAACAAGTTAATAACCTTGGTTTTGTCCCTTTGAACAGACACGCATCAAATATGTCGGCTTCCAAAGAAGATTAAAGTGTAGTTGCTTCTCGGCCTTTTGGCTAAGATCAAAGTGTAGCTTTGCTGCACTGGTCTGGCCAAAAAGTGCCCGGTATCGGTTATAACTAAGTCACGGGAGAAACCCAATCGGCAATGCCGTCTTAAAAAAATCTGCCGGGCGGTTTCCCCGTTCAGTCTGGATTACCGGCGTAATATCCTTCGGGTAGTCGGGCGGTCAGGCTGGGCATTTGGGAGACCGACCCGGACAACAAAAAAATAAAGTGTCCCATCCCAACACTGGACAGAGGCTTACTTTGTACAGCGGCAAGTTCTGGCTGTTCGTCTGACTCTAAACTTTAGTCTTGTTACAGAACTTCAGCATTGCGTGCAGATACGTTTTACATATCTGTCTTATTTCGTGTAGATTTTGGCGTCATGTGCCTTTCACGCAGATGCATTCCGGCTTTAGAGAAAGCTCCCAATTAGTGGACTTTTACGACATTTGTAAGGGAGTACCCACAATGTGGCTACAAAATACACACAGGGATGTTGTTTTAACAGTGTATCCTCTGTCAGTATTCGTTTACGTAAGGTCTTTGGAGAGGGAAAGCAACCAGTCGACCAGAATGACAAGGCTCCACTCGAGATGCCAGAAAGACAAAATTGTCTTCGAATGTTATGTTTAAAAAAAAAAAGGAAATTCATACTGGTGAATACAGTTTGAGGCGGGAGTCTTTCCTCTGAGCCACGTAAACTCCTCCCTTCACACAGACTACTGACCCAGTTTCACTTCCCGTCCGGGTTCTGGTGATATATAGGACAGTACCTGTCCAGTTCATTCTCTCAGAGTTGTCACCAGGAACCCAGATGATTATAATTCATAATTCGCTTAAACATTTGTCGACGAGATATTACTTCTACTGATGATTTGTAATCTGGTAATCTGGTAATCCTAGTTTCAGCTTCATAGCAAACGGGTCACCCCACATATGCTCCGCTCCTGTGCCAACGAAAAACAAACGCAGCCCACAGTGTCACGCCATGCACTCAACTCAGAAGCTGGGCGACGAAACTACATCCTTCCAGTCTACAAATGGAGCAAAAATGTAACGGCCACCGTCTGGAAAAATATTTGCCACGGCTTAAAAAAAAAAAAAAGGTGGCCGTACCTAGCGTCCATTTTGACCGGAAGAATTATATGCGGGTTAATAAACGGTCACCCCAGCAGTACCCTCATTATTAGCTGGGGAAGGGACTTAGGACATTACATCCACCAGCAGGCGTCGCCCCTACAACGACCTGCCTGCCATCGTTAACGACTGTTCACCCAACAGCCATGCAGTTCTTTGGCACGAAGGAGACACCTTGAACTTGGGTTTCGTACTGCCGACTCCCTACTAAGATGTTATTTTATGTTCTGTTATCACAATTAATGTCACTGCACATTGGGCATACCCATGCGTGCT